CGGGCTCAGGCCATCCACTCACCTCAGCCTCCCAAGGCGCGGGATTACAGGCTGAGTCACTGAGCCCGGCTGCGGTTTTTTTAATACAGTTAAACACACACTTACTCTATGACCCAGAAATACTATCTGACATATCTACACACGTGAAACGCAAACTCACGTGTGCACAAAAACCTGCCGGCGAATATAGGCTGTGATTGCAACTGCCCAGCACTGGAAGCAGCCCGCTTGTCTTTTGTCTGGGGAATGAACACGCAGACCTTGTACACATCACGCAAATACGGCTCGGCCGTGACAAAGAATGAGCTACTGACGCCTGTGTCAGCATGGACGTCTCTCAGATGAAGACTGCCAAGGGAAAGCAGAAAGACCCACAGGGCTACAAAGTGAATACTGTGATGTCATCTATGCTATTCTGCCAAAGGCAAGATGAGCCGGGCAGAGGACAGGTCAGTGGTGGCGGGAGGCTGGGATGGCGGCAAGAGATGATTACCAGGGGCACGAGGGCTTTTGGGGTGATGGACTCTTTGTTCTGATTGTAGTGGTGACGACATGATTTTACACATCTGCCAAAGCCCACAGAACTGCATGCGAAAACGTTAGTGTTCCAACGTGTGAGTTATATCTCCATTAAAAGAAAATTAAGAAAAAGTGAAATCATGGATCTTATTGTAACTTATCCATTTATGCAGACAGTATGGGCGATTTAATCCAAAATGCTCAAAGGCAAAATAGACATTATTTTCGCTCTGTGTTGTGAGATATGCTCTAACAAAAATCCTTCAGAGGTGTTTCAAGCAATGTAGGCATTACAAGTAACCGCAGCCTTGACCTGCTGGGCTCAGGCGATCCTTCCGCCTCAGCCTTCCAAGTAGCTAGAACTACAGGCGAGCGCCCCCATGCCCAGCTAATTTTTTGATTTATTGTAGAGAAGAGAGCTCACCGAGTTGTCCGGGCTGGTCTCGAACCACTGGACTCGGGTAATCCTCTTGTCTTGACCTCCCAAAGTGCTGAGGTGACAGACTTCGGCCACCATGTCCGGCCTTGATTTTTAAAAATATTCATTTATTTATTCTGATAGAGATGAGGTCTCTCACTTTGCTGCTCAGGCTGTTCTCAAATTACTGGCCTCAAGGGATTCTCCCACCTCGGCCTCCCAAAGTGCTAGGGTTACAGGTGTGAGCCACCGTGGCCGCCTAGATGTATTTATTGGAGTCAGGCGTTGACTTCCTGGGCTCAGGAGTGTTGCTCTACAATAAGAAAATTAATTTCTTTACATGGAAACATAAATGGTCTAAAACGGAAAATAAAACCATCTAAAGCAAAGACGACTAGATGCTCGTGTTTGTCTCTTCCGGTGGGGAGGACCCACGGGCACTTGATTACTCTGGGTACCCCAGTACCATCCCCCCGGAGGGCTGTTGGAAGGATTAAATTAGATGCTATGGGGCAACCCCTTGGGGTCCCCTCCCACCGTGGGAGCTTCTCTGTCCTCTCAATAAATCCTGCTTACTCACAATCAGCCAATCGATCAACCAATCAGTAAAAGTAGATACTATGTGTACAGTCTCCGCCGCAGAGTCTGACCCACAGTCACTGCGCAGACGATGTCATCCCCCCGCCCATCCC